TTTTTAATATTAATTTTATTTCGTATTAAGTAAGTTTGCATTGCAATGTGACATATGTCATATATCCAGAAATGTTTTCATACATCCCGGTTATCGTTGTTTACAAAACATATTATGGCTAGACAACAACATGATTCAATGTCTTCAATTGCAAGCTGTAACATACGGATTCACTAATTCGGCTTTAAGTAACAGCTTGCCTTATCGAATTACTAATATGTTAAATGTGATAGTTTGTGAAATTGTTAGTATATATGTTTGTTACTTTTTTATGGAATTTAGTATAAGAATAATTCTCAGCCTGAATTAACATATGAGCTATTTTTTATCCCATTAAACGGTTCTTTGAGCAATAAATCGTTTCATAGCAAACAAAGCTGAGTCAGTTGACATATCAGATACTACTTACATAAAACACACAAAAACTAAAACATTACCTTTAGTTACAATGCTATTTCTCTAAGATGATTGGTTCATATAAAAAGGTCCACAATAGTCTATGTCTTTTTAAAAACACGACCTGGATTAACACGATCAATATGTAGATAAACCCATTAATTATTGATTGTGTTAATCCAGGACAACAACAAACTCCTAGGATCAAACATTGTAATGTATCACTCGGCTCCATTGGTCGTCTAATGGCGAGATGTAAACATTTGGCTATTGCAAACAACCGAATGAAAAGTTGAAGATTTGAAACTAGATCAAACAGCTCTTCTAGTTTAATGCTGCTTAATCAAATTGAAAGTTGTAACCATTAACTATGCGTGTTAGATAAAGTCATAATTATGAGACAGTGAACATTGAAAATTTTTACTTTGTGTATAGTTACCAAACATTGGCTTAGTTTTCATTTACACTTTCAAATCATTGCTGAGGTTTGTTTAAAAATCTGCTTTAGATAATACCTATAATATGTCGTAACTAACCATTGGTATCGTTTTCATTCCTTTGATTCATATCACTAATTTTGCTCATATCGATAAACTTTTTAGTGTTTTCCAATTATATTCTTTACTTTCTCCATTCTATAACTGTGGTCCTTCAATTTTATATCTGTAACCATTAAAATTCTGTAATATAAACTTATCCAAACCTGTACGAACTTTCATCCTATGTTTTTGTCTACTTATACTAATGTGAACCCTTACCTGTACTTTTCATAGTTTTTCTTTATACATTTTACCAATTCTAATCATATTAAAACACTTATTTATGTATTATAACACAAATTATCGCTAATTTTAATTGTTTTGACAGAATTGACATCAAAGTTTTTCTTCGTTGCTATGGTTATATTTGATACTCTTCATGAAAATTGACTCATTGTTTGTCAGTTTTAGGCATTGAAACTCTGTAGTTTTTGAATTTTTAGGGTTCTAATTTGAAATCATTTACTTCTAAATTTGAGTTCGTCTTCAGGTATAAATAGCCTCGCTCAAATAGTTCTTCATCACTTCAACGGCAACAGTTGCCAAGTTAGCTTTTTGGAGCTCGTACAGAGCTAGCTAAATTCTTAAAAGGCCTATTTCCCGGGGCCGACTGCCCCGGGAACTCTTCAAAGTTACGGTCTCAAAGTCGCATGACATCTTTCTGGCTTTAACTAGACGACAACAAATCAATACTCCACTATAACCTCCTACGCTACTTCACTCCTGGAGGCTGGCTGCGAGTATACGCCTTAGGCCCGAGCTGCTGCTCAGTTCTGGGCTACCGAAGAATCCCCTGTTCGACGCATCGAGACTACGCCTCGCCGATTTACGCTCTCGGTTCTTGGCTGCCGAAGAATCTCCAGTACGACGCATCGAGACTACTCCTCACCGATTTACGCTCTCAGTTCTTGGCTGCCGAAGAATCTCCTGTTCGACGCATCGAGAGACTACGCCTCGCTAAATTTACGCTCGGGATCCAGACGCCCCTCAAGACTGCTGAAGTACTTCATCAACGGAACTTCACCGCTGACCCACGCCCCTTCACCTACACTGACACTCTCACTCACACTTCTACACTTTTCACCTCACTAATCACCTCGTCCCTTTTATTTTATTTTTTTGTTTAATGCAAATAAATTATTTAATTTGATTTATCATCTTTTAGTTCTTTTTATATCTTGTTTCATAACAAATACTAAACTTCTAAAACATATGTCTATATAATAACATATGAAGCTAAAAAACCAGTACTCTCTTTGGTTATAAAATATTTGGGTGAATGTCTGACTAATGAGCGACTAACGTCCGGTTTTTGAATTGAGAAAAGTATAAATAGTCATCTGATTATTCTCAATAAATTATGTTTTTTACATTTCAAAATGTCCACATGTTAAAAAAGTCCTAGTTTTATAAAACTGCTATCAACTGATTATTTAAAAAAAACGATGGAAAATTAAGAACGATTTACATAACTCATCACACTGGCCCAATGCGGATTGGTGAATAGTTACGGCTGCAGATGGAGCCAGTATTAACGGCTTTAGGTACTTTTCAAAGCATGGAAGAGCTTGAGGTTATTAATCCTTGAGGTGATTGCTTAACCTCCGCATTACCTAATACTGTATATGGATGACGATTACTATTGTATCTAATACATTTCTAAAACATATACAAAAAACATTCAGTTCAATTGAGGGTCTCTTTTCGATTCAGTTCGATTGAGGAAAAGTTTCATACTTTACTATACCAAACCCCTATAAAGCGATAAAAGGAATCATGCGAACGTTTAATCACTTTGAAGCCCTACTACTACTATAATATTTATAAATGGATATACCTATTTGTAATATTAACATTATACATATTTTTGTGAGTGCTTATTTGTATAGAACCGGTTCTTAATTCATTTTAAATGTTTTATCATTTGACTCAACAAAAAACTCTGAAATTGTGTTTACGCACGCAAATTTCTTCGTTATTTTTTAAAAGCAAATACCTAATTATGTATGCCGTCAATTTTCTGAGAAAGGTAAATAAGTGATTTCGGAGATTGACGCATGTTTAATCCAAAACGAAGTTAAAATGATTAAAAAAAAAATTGACATTGCCATTTGATTAATTATATATGTACATATTATTTCGAGGATGTGTTTGTTTGGAACGAGAAAAAGTACTTTTTTTGTCTTTCATCTCAAACATTCTTCTCTCATCTTTCAAACATTTTTCATATTCTTATTTTTTGTCTTCTATGCGTGTTATAAACACGTATAAAAAATCTAATATTTACTTATTTGTAATAATCTAAATTTGTGAAAACTTTATTTAGCGTTGATGTTGATCGAAAGCTTAAAGTAACTTGTGTCCTAATATAACATAAAGCGGCACTCAGCGAAATTTGATTTAGAACAGGCCTCCTTATGGTAAGAATAAATCAATGAACGTAATACGGTATAAGCAAATTTTATAACAGACTTGCTTACTACTAACAAAAAGGAGCAACATATTAGTAATCTTACTGTTACACAGAGAGCTTAAATTACTCAACATATAAGAGGCAGTTTTACTCCTGAGCTAGCGAAGTAGTTAATATAAGCCAAATTATAATGGATATTTTAAGCCGACTGTACAGCCTACTTTTCACTTCGTTTCTGAAAAAAAAAAACGATCCACTACAATATTAAATATATATAATTAATTTTTATTTTTAAAAATTTTGTTTTTGTCTACCAAGTGTTTCCGTTCTTATGATTTCTAAAAATATTACTTTTGCTATTTTATTTTATTTATTAATTGTAAATACAATGTAACATTACAGCTTGTTCGGTATGCACTTCCTGCGTAAAATCCCGTTGAACATAAAAAACAAATATTAAAATCCACTTTAAATAATATAATCCCAAATTTCAAGCGCTTAGAGAATTTAAACATATCTAAAACCCACTAGCAACAACTATTGTGTAAATGATGTACCTAATGTGAATCTGGGTTTTGTCTTTTCAATCTCGCCGATTATATTTTACTTCCTTTTCAGTAAAAACACAAGACACAGTGTTCCCGGAATCCTCGATATTGCCTTGCCATTTTAAAAGAATTTTTTATAAGAGTTCCAAATCAACAAGAAAGAGATTCGGTGGTATTTATGTATTTTTTTTTTAAATATGTTCACCGATTTCTCCTCGGAATGTAAATTCCTTTTTAATTCGGAAGATTATGGTCCTAATGTGATCACATTCTAGTTTTAATGACGCCTTTAAACTCTAATGATTGTCAAATTTGTATGGGAATGTCGCTTTATACTAATAAAAACTTTAATGAACCTTTGTGCAACTGACTATATACTTAACCAGTTTAAGGAACTCAGTCTTCGCCTAGATTATTATCACAGAATATACTCTGTGGTATTATGTTCCTTGGTTGTCGTAGTGTATGGTTTATTGTTTGGTGCCGTATTTGAAAATTGTTTTAGTATGAGAGGCGTTATCTAGTTGTATTCTTGATCGAAGATGACAAACAAATTTTTCTTGGCTGTTGTCTATGTTCACAACAAAACTTACGCAGTGTTTTTCATAAACTTTTTCGTTGATCCAATTATTGTAATGACGCCAAGAGAGATCTAGTAAAAGTTATGTATTTACGTAGTTTGTACAGAACTCGCGGGCCTATTTCTAAACAGTATTAAGATATTTGATCCTTGTAAACAAGCAAATAAATATTGAGAAATTAGAGAGGCTTCCCTTTTACACATCAGTTTCTTAAACCATTTGCGTAGCATCCATATTTGATCAAAAGCTTGAAGAAGGTTGTTTATATTAATAAACCTCACACGGCGAAATTTCAAAAACAATGTTCTTGAAAAATGGAGGAACATCCTTTTTTTTCTCCAACGAAGCTCATTATTTGTAAAACAACACTTGAAACCTAGTTACTTCGCTTTTAAAACATCAGCGACATTAAGCGTAGAGATACAAATGCTGAAAACACGTCACAAAATAACTAAAATTAAGCTGTAAATTTCCAAAATAGTATACTTATTAAAACAACTTATTAATGTAATTAAAAACTTACCAGTAGCGTGTAGCTTCCTCAGTGGGTCCACAATGGCAAAGTATCTGTCTGCTGACAGAGCCGTCAATGTGAATACTGACACGCCTATGCTGACATCTTTCGCTGCTTCGGACACTCTGCACACGGTGTCGCCCCATGGCCAAGATTCGACAGTGTACACAATGGATGTGAACGGTACGCATGTGATGATGACGAGAAGATCAGCGAGTGCCAGTGACAATATATAACTGTAATATGAAAAAAAATGATCATTTTAATGATTGCACAGGTATGGATACTAATATTCATCAATTTATAAACTCTATTTGACAGACTTCATATAATAAACTAGCTGTTTATTATACACGCGTAAATTATAGCCTTTGTCGACGGCGTATGATGTAGCTACCCGTAGGTGAGAGAATTTTTAAAATCAGTCCAGTAGTTTTGAAGATAGTCTTCGAAACTACTGGACTGCGAGGCAAACAAACAAATAATCAAATCATTTCTCTTTGTTATATTAGTATAGAAAAAGCTATGTCAATAAAATTATTTAGTTAAGTTTTATTTTACAGATGACGTTTATCAGTTAATGATTTTCAGCGGTGAAATAAAAGAAATTGTCGACATAACCATGAATTCTCTTCAGGTGACCATTAATTTCAACAACAAAGAGTGGAACGCCTTATTTTCTTTCAATAAAATTTATCGTTTTGTAAGTAGGGACATTCACAACGGAGTTTAATAATTGATGCTATAACTCAAATCAATTCAATGCATCTGGAATATTTAATTGTCAAAGATTGGAGAGAAAAGATGACTGCGGAAATGAAAGTCGTTTTTTTGTGAGCACCATTAACAAAATTATATTTAGTAATTTCGTTGTTTTTGTTGACAAAAATGTGTGAAATATATCGCTGCTAGATGTACGTGATATCATCAGTGACTATACATCAGTGACTATGACTGAAGAATGTAATTAATATACTAAAATCTAATCATACTCCTTTGTTATACACAAAAAGATCTGTTGAAGCACTTAATACCTTGCAGGGATTTCACCAAATCTGCAAACTTTTAATTTTACATAATGAAAGTTATAAATAGGTTAATGCATTTTTTGTGAATCATCAAAATATTCGTTGGGCTATTGGCTAAGTTTTATCAAGATATATCAGATATCAAGTTGATAATACGTATAAATATAACAAATGTTAGGACTTCGTAATTTTAGATTAAAACGTGGCATAAATTCACAATCGTGACTCATTACAGTATAATTTTTAACTATACTTAAAATAATTATATTTGGTCTATTTTTCATTCACAATTTGATGAAATATAGCCAGTATAACAAATATTCATCTCTATAGAAAGTTTAAATATTTGTAAAAATATTTCTTGCGGCTGTTTGGGTGGATTGCCTGAACATTTATGAATCTACTGAACCTTTCTAGTAGCAAAAAAGTTATAAGTGCTTGAAAAGTTTGTCAATCCCCTTTTCGGTCATGGGTAGCTCCGCGCGGTGTATGGCCTTCGGGCCGATCCCGTGCATCGCCTTCCATGCGAGGGACATCGCTGAGTTTTAGTGGGTAAACTCCTGTTTTTTGTCTATGCCTTCGGCGGTGGGGCCACAGGAGGAGTCCCACATAGCCCGTGGAGCCCGCGTTGGGTGACACGGGTATGCGTAACGCATTTCTCAGCGTCAAAAAAAAAATGGTCGTGGGTAGCGAAAATCATGGGTTTGAGTCACATCTCAGAGTGCCAGGGATAAAAAGGATTTTTTGAGCATCATACTTTAAATAGTTACCACAATTTAGAAAAAATAAAATAAAATTGGTAATGTAATGTACAAATATCTCGTCGGGTTCATGTGTAGAGCACGTAGGAGCAGTAGTCGCAAAAATTGGCAAAAAGCCATTCTCCACTCTGTGAAGTTTCAAGTTAAACCATCTGGAATCACAATCGTGTTTCTGCTCACAAATTGTTATGCTTGCCAAATTCCGCTAAACACTGCTTATGGAAAACGAACTTGGAAATTCAGCACCTATTACGATGCCAAATTTTAAAGACGACATTTAAATAAATTAACGCTTACTACACGCGTAGCCGTTTAATTCGTTTGTTCTACATTTATCTGACGTTGTTAACATTAACGTAGTTTAAATCTTAATATATCGATAAAATATTTACAATAAACTATTTTTGTGATATTAAAGAATAGCAAGAAAAAAAAAACAAATGAATACGCAAATAAATTCATTAGAAAAAAGTTTAAATATAAATGGCCAGGTTTGTTGAAGTTATCAGTAAAAAGTTTAAAACCTGAATTAAAATCGAATTGGTTTTTATAAAAATTGTATGATCCCTACAAATTTCTAATACGCCTGGCCGCCATTTTGATGATGTAATTACGTTCAAAAATCAGTACCGTTGACAAATAAACACTGATTGACGAGTACACTTATTGAGTTGGGTTGTGTTCAGATCACATATTATTTTTGTTATGTTTTTATTGGTTTCGATTGTTATTCATAAGTTTTCTTGTTACTTGTTATAGGTGACTAAAATAGCAACTGCATTTATGATTCCACAATAAGTAAAACATAATGAATATATCTAATCATTTTATTATTATTTTTGGTTACGTTTTAAAAAAATCCTTTCTGTTTGTTTTCTTATAATTACCCGAGAAAAGTGACATTTGAGTGTAGACAAAACGTTCTCGAGTTCGTCATGCTACGCGTGCTGGTATACTGGAGTCTTAAACTAATCTTAATTAAAAATATGCCATTGAGCATCCACCTTTATATCATTATCATTATTGACTAGATCAATTGGCACTTAATAAAAGTACTTAAAAATCCACATTGTCGCTAGCACTCTGAGATGGGACACAAACCCATGACATTTTTTTTACGCTGGGAAATGCATTACTACATTCCCCGGGTCGTCAGTGCGGCTAACCGGGGATCCTCAATGCGGACTCGCCCCAGAATGGGGCTAGTCAAAGGGCAGGGGTATACCCACTAAAACCAGTGATGTCCCTCACATGGAAGGCGATGCACCACGCGGGCTACCCAGGACCTAACAGGACTGACGAATTTTTCAAGCACTTGTAACTTTTCGCTACTACAGAGCGTACTTTCATCAATGTTTAGGCAATCAACCCAAACAACCGATCGACTCTAAATGAGATGGATCATATTAGAGTGCCAGGGACAAAGTGCATTTTTTATGTAATAATATTTGAGTTTAATTAGGTCAGATAAATTGGAATAATTGGAATGTTATAATGGACGATAAACTCAATTTAGTGGGGGATTATTATTATAAGGTAGGTTCGCTTTTGACGTAAATATAAAATTTACTTTGAAACTTATATCAGAATAAAGAAAGTAAATAAGTTTTATCATAACTTTATGTTACCTAGAAAAACTAGAGGTAATTAAATTTGTGCTTCCTTGCGCAACGCGACGCTTTTGAATGAACGTCAGTAGTCAGCTAATATGATAACGCCTCCTAGGTACTCGTAGTTTCAAATCAATAAAAATTGATGTGCAATATCAAGGAAAATGGTAAAATATACTTAATTACATAATGTTATTGCAAATAATTATCATTACTCTCTACTAACGTGATGTTCATTGTTCTTACAGGATTTGAAATTAAATTGAAATTAATTAACAATTTTTATTGATTTTCATGCGCATAAATGAAACAGCTTTTACGCGGTTTCATAGCGTTTGTATTTAGTTTTATTGATGTTTCGGACCCTTTACAGTTTCCGTGGTCACATAAGACTAAGGTGTTGATTGTATTTTTAGTTAAGAGTATACCTTCAAACTAATAATACTGGACACATACACAATACATTTCCTTTTTTTCATATTTTATGTCAACGTTTACATTTATTAAATTTTAATATTTCAAAAATATATTTGAATTATTTATTTACCCCTAGCTACCACCAGCTTCAAATTTGGTTGTCTTGTCTAAGAGGAACTGGTAAAACAAACTCCGATAAGAAAAGTGAATTGCTCCCTTTGATTTAATATTTACAGAACGAACTTACTGTATCTTTTGGTTTTGCAATGTGTGATCTGGATTGAGATTTTATTTGACTAATTACTGAATCCCAGGCCGGTGGTGTATGCCAACCTTCATCTCTATTAAAATTCGGATGTTTTTTAATTTCACGAGGCTCGCGTATCATTTTAGGGATGAATTTTTGTTCAATGTAACAATTTTTATTAAAGCATTCTGATAATCGTCTATTATATGAGCATAAGAAAATACATGCAGTTGGCAAACAATCTCTACAAACTCAAAGTAAAGTCCACACAAAACTTTCATTGAAATTGGTCTTCACTTTCTGTTTGCCCAAGCTGGACGTGGGCGAGGGGTTTGTGGCCGGCGGTTTCTAGCCGTCGCGACACGTCCTCTGGAGGTGGGGAACGGGCGACCCCCCACCTTCACAACCCAAGCCTTACCTGGGTATATTGGCTCTGCCCAGGTGGACGTTTAGTTCCATACTACTCGTGGGATCAACATGGAAGATTTTACTTACACTAATAAAAACACCCCAGTTGACGGTGGGCCAAGCTCGGGCGGAAGCGAGCGGAGTGCTGTGACAGATTCCCCGGACGGAGGGATGGGCCCGGCGCGGGCGGGAGTGCGCGATGCGAGACAAAAGGAAGAGAGCGTAGAAGGGAGAGAAATAATAGTGGAGAGGCGAAAGACAGTGGAAAGATCTCGGTCGAGATCCAAGACAAGGGATAAAATAAGTAAGATCCCAGCTCCAGTCTCACATTCAGGATTGATCAGATCGGACAGATCGCTGTTACATAGTTCGGTACTGGAGTCGGCAACGATCAATCATCCCAAGTCAGCAACTGTCGAGTCGGAAGTCGTCAAGTCAGTATCAGTCAGGTCAAAGTCGGTACTAGACAAATCGGCTACAGTCGAGTCGGTTTCAATTGAGCCGGCATCAATCAAATCAACAGCAGTTAAGTCGAAGTCTGGTAAGTCTAATCTTAGTAATTCATCGTCGACCGAGAGCTTACGGAGAATCGGAGGACAAAAAGAAACGGGTTATCCAGATCTTAATGTTGGGCAATGCACAAGAGCTATAGTGGAAAAGACGCAAAGCCAACGGACCACGCAGACTGAGGATCAAATAGGCATGACAACGCGTTCTACAAGAGCGCAACAGCAAAAGAAAGAAATCAGAGAGGGAAATAAGGGA